GTTGTATCATACAGTGGTTGGGTAGAAGTATCTGGACACTCTACTTTGCTGTCCTAATGACACAACAGCACCAATGTATCACCGGTTGAGCTGCAAATAAAACGTCCAAAAAATATATATTAAACGAAGAAGTTTGAGTTTTTCTACCATTTCTTCCCTGGCTTTATACCTTCGTACTGGCCAAGATCAAAAGACACACCTCCCCTACCCTTCCCCTCTATAGGAGAAGGCATTTCGTAGGCCGTGCATGGCGCATCGACCGAAGCTACTGAACGTTTGTGCCAATAGGCGCTCCCTCCCAACTCCGTTACCAGTCCCTCTCCTCTTACTATAATATGATATTCTCTAATATTAATATAAATATAATAATAATAACTTATATCATAGTATTTCATCTTAAGGGGACACTTACTTGATTTCTAGTGTAACTGGCTTTAACGGAATCGTAGAACTGATTGGTATGAAATAAGATTCGTTCACGGAACTAAAAAATAACAAAAATGTAACAGGGTAAGGTCGGTAACTCGCTACACCTATAGCAAAACTTTTTGACTGGGCTAAATGCAACGACCGAAATAAATACTTGATTATGGTGTAATTTATTCAAGTCAGATTTATTCCTTTATTTGTATAAAATGACGTGAAAATGTTCAAAATCGATCTGTAATAGACATTTTTCGAGTACCAAATTTCCGCTGTGTTCCTTGATCACAGACTCATTTACTCAGGCTTAGCCTCGTATCAGTGTCTTAATATTCACAAATACCAACGGTAAAGTAAAGAATGCACAACTTCAACAATACAAACACCTTGACATTCCACGGACCTTCACTGAAACAGTGAGGCTAACCCTGAGCAACAGAGAACTCGAAACTGGGGTATTTGTTTAATATTGGAATAGGAAAACATTACGCTCAAAGTAGGACAGTCCATTTTCCCAGAAGTTCGTACATTTGTCTTACCTGCAAGAGTCGCATTTAAGGTCGTAGTTCTTTTCCATGATCCTTAGCTTCATGTCTTGAGCTTTTGCTGTTCCCTGAATCTTGACTGATAAAAGAAATGAGAAGAACTTTTAGGTAAGAACATGAAAATTAAGGGACAGTACAATTTTATYCCCACCCCACCTCTACCATTTGGTACTATTTCATCTCCACCCCACCCCTGTTATATGGTACAAATTCATCCCCGCCACACCCCCTACCACATGGTACTATTTTATCTCCACCCCACCCCTGTTATATGGTACAAATTCATCCCCACCCCAACCCTGTTATATGRTACAAATTCATCCCCACCGCCCACCCCTACCACATGGTACTATTTTATCTCCACCCCAATCCTGCCATATGTACAAATTCATCCCCACTCCACCCCTGTCATTCGGTTGTCCTTTACCCCCACCCCTCCCCTGTGTGTCCTCACCTGGAGGTAAAGCATTAGACATCTCACTATAAACAGGTTTGTTAGCCAACAGTTTGTAAGGAATCGAGTCACATTTCTCTGCTGTTCTTGAACAGCACTGACAAACAGGCTTCGAGGGGGTGGGTGTTGGAGAGTGTTGCTGTGACTCSGTGTTGACTGGATGAAGTGGTGGTGGCTTGCCTGACTTGGCGTTGATCGTCGTGTTGTGTGTATTAACGACTGTTGGTACTGCTGAGAAAGATGAAGAATTACAAATTGAAATTGAAATATGAGAATTAAAAGCCGATGATGTTGTTATATTCCCCCTCCACTTGCTGCTACATGATTCCCGGCAGTCCTTATGTCTCGGACAGAACAACAGCAATTTAAATAAATTAATGAAAGCTTTCTTGTGATGGAAAACCATGGCATCGTTACAACATGGCTCGCTTAATACCCTTCATACCTGAGTCTAAGAGATAATACTCCTATTTCAGAAATCGTTGTCGCACCAAAAGCCTCAAGCAACAAGCCAAGACCGCAGAGAACGCCGGCACTTTTAGCTGTAATTAGTCCATTCATGGTGCATTTTCATTTATTGACTTCGCAAATTGCTCCAAGCAAGGTTGCTTGGGATGATAATTATAATCATTATAGTACACTCAACAAAATTACTC